TCTGAAGTCCAGGCCCGGGCCAGAGCCAGTCGCAACGACAGCAACACACGCAACACGCACGCACACGCGGCAACACGTGTCTGCTGAAAGAACAAGCGTGAGGGTGGGGGGTTCAGGGGCGCAGAATAAATAAGCTCTGAAGTGCAAACTCTCTGCAACGCTACTTAAAAAGAAGTCCTATTGAGTTCAATAACACTTACGCCTAGGTAAAGCGTTCCTAGGAGCCTTCGCTTCCGGATACTCGGAGGCTTGGGCGCATCTTGGGGGGCGGGGGAGGCAACCCCCCCTCTTTGCAATTCCCGCCGGGAAAGCCTGGGGCGAAGGGCGAGGCGCCCAGTGCAAGGCGCTGCCTCTGTTCTTCCCCCGCGCGGAGTCGGGGCTCCTCAGGGAGACGCTACTCCCCAGAGCAAACTGGGCTCCGGAGCCGAGACTGCTCGGTGGTCCTTCCCAGAGCGGAGAAGCCGGCAGAGGCGGAGGGCTCCGAGGGGTGCCTGCTGCAAGCGCGGGGGACAGAGAGAGACCCCCAGAGCAGCGCCCTGCACCAGGCCGGAGTGTCTGTCTGTCTCCTTCTCTTAGTCTAGCCTACTTCACAGGTTGTTGCGAGGAGAAACGCAGCCATGCGCCAGTCCCTCATTTCATTTCCACACTTAAAAATAAAAAAAATGTTCGGGTGAAAATTGTTTCTACGGCTGCGGTTGCTTATTTTCCTTTTCACCCGGCAGCGGCTGGGTCTGTGCGGCTCCTTGTCGCGCAGTTCAGAGACGTTCTTGCACCGTTCGCGCTGGATTCCTCTTCGCCGGACAGCCCCTCTTCCAGATCCTCTTTGAACTTGTTTGGGAGAATCCGGGGCTAGTCTTGGAGCCAGCTAAAAAAAAAAAATTCAAAACATTCTGCCACTGCGGCACCTTATTTTTCATAACTATTATTGTCGCTAATGCTGCTACTTTTAAAATCATTATCACATTATTTTGCAATTGCGCATTTACCACGGCGGTACGTTTTTTTAAATAACTGTTGCTATTATTATTATTATTATTATTATTATTATTATTATTATTATTCCATCTTCTTCCCAATTAAGCCTCCTGCGGGTTCCCTGGAAGCCTCCCCTCAGATCATGATCCAGGAACCCCCGCCGAGACTCCCGCCCCAGCTCGGGTACAAAAATATCCAAGAGAAACTCTGCAGCAGGAAGACCGTTTGCTTAGAGTGACTGACAGTTTGGCAGTTTTTAAAGGAAAAGGCAGCCCCTCCTCAGGAAGAACTCACTGAGTCGCGCGTGGGTCAGCTCGGTGGGGCCAAGCCAGGGCGCCTCCTGGGCGGGGAGGGGGACCCGAGACCAGCCCCGCGCGCGGCATTTCCACGCCACTCGCAATTGCATTTTGCTCTTCTTTATCCAGACAAGGAAAAATAGAACATTGGTTTCCCTTGGACACTAAAAAGATGGCTTAAACTGGTTTGCACATTAGACAGCAACTATAAGACGGAAAAGCACGGTTTTAAAATTAATGAAAAGCATCGCTCCCGTCAATATATTTGTCGCAAAAAGCACCCTCCCAGATCATCAGCGTAATGGGGGCCGGTATAAGAGGGGAGCCTCCTCAAAAGCCGGGTGTCGTCAGCACCCCGAGAGCGGTACGTGTCAGGCCAGAGTGACGGGTAGTGCAATCTTTAAGCCCCATTGAATTCACAAGACCTGTTGAATTTAGGCATTATAATATAGGTATTTCCCGAGTGGTGTAATAGGAGAGGAAGAGCACGCCTCTTATACGAAATAAAATAATGGTTTGGAGTATTCGGGATCTCCTTGTCCGCAGACACATCTCCGGGCGAAAAAGGGATCCTCTCCCGCGGGTTCACCGCCCCAAATTCCCCAGATGGATCTTGGCCCTCGAAGCAGCAACTGGTGCCGGATCATGGCAAAAGCTGCAGAGAAGTCCAGGACTCCGTCCCAGGGCATCGGGGGTCCCCCCCACGGGCGCCGCAGAAGAAGGCGCGTGGAACCAGAAGCCCGGCGGAGCGGGGCCCGAAGACAACCCCCCCATCCCTCCCCAAAAACCTCTCCCACCAGCCCGGTCGCCTTTTCTTCGAGATGGAATAGGATAAAATAGGGGCTAGTGGCCTTGATTTTGCAAAACAAATAATTCAGATACTGTACCCCAAATGCGTCGATGGCAACAGGATTTTTAAAAAATGTGTTGCCGTATTTTTTTCTGGAAAGAATAAATCCGGATTAAATAATGGCGCGGGGTGGGGGGAATAAGGCTGGTATTCTGACCACAACAACGTCCTGGGGAGGCTGCCATAAGGACGCCGTGTGCGTAAAGGGCACCAATCCCCGTCTGGAAGGGTCGCTCCTGCTAGACACTCGCCTCTTTCGCCCCCAGCTTCCATTCATTTGTCCTTAGTTAAAATAAAATTATTATTATTATTATTATTATTATTATTATTATTATTATTATTATTATTATTTCTCTTGTCACCTGTGCTTCCCCGCGGATACCTGATTTCTCCTCCTCTCTCCAGATAAATTCAACTCTCCTTTGAATATTAAAAGGACCGTTTGCATCGGACCAAGCGCGGACCGCAAAGTCGTCGGGCAGGCAGTGCCCTGTCAGACCCGAAGCGCAGGAGCGGCTCCCTCGAGTTCGGCGTCGCTTCCAGCCCCCAGACCCGTGAACACCTTTGAGGGGGTTTCCCTTCCAGAAGGAGCCGCCCTGGAAACGTCTTTCCCCGGACTCACCGGGTTTAGACTTCTGGCCTCCCTCTTCGGATGTCGCGGATCCCGGCTGGAGATTTCCACTCCAACGCCGCCGCCCTTCGGGTGCCAACCAGCGGAGAGTCCGGGGCGGAGGGCTTCAAACTGCTCTTCCTCTCCTCTGTCCGCGGCAAGAGGCAGCTCCTCTCCTTCTGCCAGATGAAACCGGAGAAGCGAAACCGAGGAAGAGATTTCCGCCTCCTTTCTCCCGGGGCTGCTCCAGCCGCGCCGCGAAGCGCCGAGGAAACTGGCTGCGGGCGAAGCCTGCCCGGCCAGCGCCCTGCCCGCCACCTCGAGGCGGCTCCTTGGCAGTCCTGCAAAGCGAAAGAGACTGGGAAGGACAGAAAGGCGAATGGGCAGGATCCGGATGGAGGGGAGAAGTCCCGCTTGGAGAAATAGCTCCTTGAGATCACCTTGTTCATGGGCGGGGGGGGGGGCGCTCCCGCAATCCCAAGAGAGGAGCCGGAGGCTGGATCCCTTCAGGAGCAGCTCAGTCCTCGGAAAGAAGCGGCCGAGGCCCGACACAAAGAGAGACCGGCTTCCCCGTGGGGCGCTTCCCTGCCTCCCCCTCTCCCCCTTCTTGCCATCTAACCAAGTACCTCGCGACGTTTCCCAAGCCAGACCAGGCCGCTTCGCTCCCGCTGCCCCTAACCCCCCCCCCCAATATAGCCAAGCTCTTTACTATCCTTCTCTGTGTGTGGCTGCTGGGGGGGGGGCAGAGATAGTGTCCCTTCCTATTCACCGTAAATGCCGCCGCTTCGGTTTCCTTTCTCTCCAGGGGCGAGTCGAGGAGCACCGGACGGCGCCAGGAAGGCCCGGAGCCGAGAAAGAGATCCCCGTCGCGGAAAGAGCGTTTCGGCTGTGGAGAAGTGCCAGCCTGGGACCGCGCAAAAACATATTCCTCGGGGTGAAGGAGAGACCCACTCACACGCGCAAAGTGTCCCTTCCCGGCCCCCTCCGCCTTTGTTCCCGCTGGGCCCTCGCCTTCCCGCCCGGCGCGGATCTTGCCTCGGTCTCCCGAGACCAGCTTTGGGCTAACGGCTTCGGCCGCGTCCTCCACGGCTGGCCTGGCGCGGCTCTCCCGGCTCCGCTCTCCGCCTCGGCACTGATCCCGCGGGCGTCGGGCGCCTCTCAGTTCTGTCTAATAGTCCCCCCCCCTCCCCGCGGCATCCCTTCGCAAAGGTTCCTTCTTTCTGAACCCAAAATGTGGGCTCGAGGGACGAAGTTCAAGGCTGTCCAAAAGCGCAAGAGCCTGGAGCTGCCGGTCTCTCTCTTCCCGGTCCCCCCCTTCCAGAAAAGCACCTGCGGGTCCCTAAAGGGACAGCTCAGCCCGAGGGGGACCCCGAGGGGGCGGGCTGGCCTCACCAATCTCGCGGCAGCCTCGGGATTCCGAGCAAAATGGTGGGGGGCGCGCACTCAGGAAGGGTCCCCACGCAGAGAACGGGATTCCTTCGGGGATTCCATCCAGCTCGGAGCGCGTCTGCTCCAGAACCGAAGGAGAGGCGTCGGGGGCCGGGAAAGGAAGAAGGGCAGAGCCGCCCTGTGGGAGGGCCGCGGAAGGAACGCGTGCCTTCCGCGGGCCGTTGAGGCCCTTTGAGGGAAAGAAAGGGCCGTTCTCGGCATCGGAAAGGCAGGCAGCAGGTTGGTTCTCCGAGAACCCTAAAAAAGCCACGACTGTCCGCGTAAGTCTGCGTAGGGACCCCCACGGCTTTCCCGGCGCCCCTTCCAGCTTGGAGAGGAAACAATCCGCGGCGCCCTCCGGGAAGCTTCCGGGGCGCCCCGGCAGATCCCGGGGAACTTTCCCCGAGCCTCGCAGCGGGCGGAGGGGCACCAGGGAGCCCCCGAAGGGGGACTGAGCAGCCTGAGCAGGGAAGGGGCTCCACACTAGACTTAGGCCCATGCCACCCCCACCAAAAATAAGCCCCAAGCCCACCTGCTTCCTGCCCATCGGGGCTTAAGGAAGGGAGAATCCGCGGGTACCAGCGTCGTCGGGAGAAGGCGCAGGCCCGCGTTTTCAAGCCCCATTTTCGGCTCCCCCCTCCCTTCCTCTGGCGAGGGGGCACCGCCTACCTGCCGCCAGTTCCACGTCGAGAAAGGTTCCTTCCAGGTGCCGATCGGACGGAGGCGGGAAGACGGCGAAAGAGCTCCAGAGGCTTTCTTTCTGTCCCCCCCCCTTCTTCTTCCGAGGGGGCTGAGGCAGCGGGGAGGGGGAGCTGAGGGCGGGTCCAGAGCGGCGGCGACGCAGCCTCCCCGGCGCTCCATTCCGCCTTTTGGCGGCGACCCCGCTCCCTCCTCCCCTTCGCCCTCCCCTTCCCACGTGCCCTCCCCAACCCCGGGGCAGGTGAGGCTGGCCAATCAGAGGGGGCGGCCCGGCAGGTACTCGGCTTATCTGGACGGCTCGCCCAGGAGCGCGCCCACTGCGCACCGGGTGGATGGGGCGGGCGGAGGGAGCGGCGGGGGTGAGTGCGCGTCGTGGGGACGGGCGCGAGTGTCCGTGCCGCCGCTGCCGCTGCCGCCTCCTCCTTTTCCCCGGAGCCGCCCTTGCCTGGCCCAGCCCGCCTGGCTCTCGCTGGCAGCCGGGCCGTCGGGAGGCTCCCCCGCCGGCTGCTGCTGCCGCCGCTGGATCCGCTCGTTCGCCCGGCGCGACCGTCGTGGCGCCCTCCTGCCCCCACGCCCGGGGCGCCCCGTGCACACGCGCGCTCGCCCCGTCGGGCGCCATGTTCCAGCCAGGGGCGACGGCTGCCAAGCGCTGCTTCACCATCGAGTCCCTGGTGGGCAAGGACAGCCACCCGCTGGGCGAAGAGCCCCTCCGGCCGGCCGCCGCCGCCTCCCTGGGCTACCCGGCCAGCGCCGCCGTCGAGGCCTTCGCGCACGGCTTCCAGGGCTCGGCAGCCGCCGCCGGGCGCTCTCTCTACAGCAGCCCGGAGCTGCTCTTCCCCGAGGCCGTGAGCCACCCGCCCGCCCTGGCCGTCCACCCGCCCCAGCTGGCCGCCTCGCACCTCCCGCCCTCGCCGCACCCCTTCTTCGGCGCCCAGCCCCGAGACCCGCTCAACTTCTACCCCTGGGTGCTCCGCAACCGCTTCTTCGGGCATCGCTTCCAAGGTAAGGGCCGGTGGGTCTGGGAGGGAGGCGGAGGAGGAAGAAAGGGGGGGGGGCGCCGAAAGAGAGGCCTAGGTCTGGGGGCAGCTGGTTCGGGCGTGTTGGGCGCTGGGCAGGAGCCCTCCGACCCCCGCCCACCGACTCTGACCCAATGGCGTCTCCAGGTATGGTTGGAAGAGTCCCAAACGCGAATGTGAAACGCTGGGGAGCCGCTGCTGCCAGCCCGTGTAGACGTCGCTGAGCCAAACTGGCCAATGGGTTTTACTCCGGATCGGTCAGCTAAGCAGGCGCTCCTGATCCCATAGGTCGTGCTGGCGAGGATTCTTCCACGGCTAAGCCCCCTCCCCAAGTCACGGGCCGGTTTCCAGGGTCAGCAGTGTCCTCAAGTCCAGCTCTCCGGACAAGGATGGCCGTTGCTTAATGGGAAGGCAAGACTGACCGCGGTGGGGTGGGGAGAGAGCAGAAGGGCCTCACTGTGGGGCACAGCATCACCCAAGGGGGCTGAGACCAGCCAGGGCCCTTGTGGTCCAGAGGCCAGCCAGAGCGCTTCCAGGCAAGGCCGGCGTTCCCGCAGACGCTGCTGCTGCTGCCGGCGGCGGCCCGTTTACCCAGAAAGTCCCCAGACCTGCCGCTTTCTCCCCGTGGGCTCGCCGTTCTTCCGCAGCTTCCCTCGATGGGCCTCTCGGCTGCCAGTCCAGCCCGGAAGGGTCCTCCGTCGGACGTGGCCCTGAACCTTCCGCCTCTGTCCGGCAAGGCGGCGTGGAAGTTCCAGAGAAGCTTCGAAGCTCAGGGTCTTTCGCGTCTTGGTTTTAAGAAGGATTTTTCCTCTTATAAACGAAAGTAAATTAAATGGAAAGACAGACCCCCGGCCATTCAGCCCGCCCCCCTTTTAGACATTTGCCGACGGGCCGCGGGTCGGCGGCGCTTCCTCTGCGGCCGAGCCCCGTTCTCTGCCTCGGGCGCGGCTGCAATCTGCTCCGCGTCTCCCCGCTTCTTTCTAGGGGGGCAGAGGCAATACGAACAGAGCGCGGGGGGGGAGCGGGAGCGGGCAGCTCTCTGTCCTCCAAATATTCCGTCGAACACAATTAAATGCAAGGAAACGACGAAAGGTGTCTTGGCCTTCGGGAACGAGGTGTGCATGAGTTGCGCGAGGTTGGGGTGGGGGGGTCCTATTCGTACTTTCTCTCGGAAATAAATTGCTCTGAAAATCGCACATTCCCCTCCTATCTCTAGGGAGTTCTGGATCTGGTTGTTAATCAATTATAAAGACGCCGAAATAATTTCTTGACCCACCCTGAGAATGGCAGAATTCTCAATTTTTTTGTTTCGCTATAATACGATTATATTTTCTTCTATCCTCCACTTTCCTGGGGTGGGGGGACCCTTCTTCCAGGTAAGTGAGGGGAACGAGTCCCTTTAATCTTGCGGACTGTCTGGGGGACCCACACACCTCCCTGGGCCACGACCCGGCCTGGATTTCTTGCTCCCAGGGCTGGAGGAACCTATTCGCGGCGACAGGAGCCCCTTTCTGTGGCCAAGAGACTCTCACGGATGGAGCCGGTGGCTGGGTGTGCGAGGGGGAAATTATACCTGGTTAAGGTGGAAAGAATAAGAAAGGGAAAGCAATCCGTTTGCCCCGGAACTTTTTCTGAAACCCACAAGCCAGTTGGGAATTTTCTTGGCGGTCCCAGTTGAAACCTGGAGCCCCGCCGTCGCCAGTTCGAAATTTGACGAAGGCGAAATGTTCGGCACCGAAATCCCCGCCGTCGGCGCAACTTAATTGCGAGATGTTTTGTATTTCGGCCGACAACCGCGATCCTGAAATCAAGGGGCGCTGATTTTTGAGTCGCGGGGCGATAAATTAAGTCCTTTTAAGCTTATCTCGTTTTCAACAGGCGCTGAAATCTCCTAAAGAAATAGACGAGATTCGAAAGTGCAGAATTGTGACGGGATTGTGTCGCCCGTTTTTAGATTTTTTGTGTGGGGGGGAGGGAGGAGGTGGAAAGAGAAAGAAATATCGGAAACGAAGGATCCGCCTAAAGGCGAGCAGCGCGGGGCTTTTCTGCCAAGGAAATGCCCTTTCACGAAAGCCGCGGTTCCGCCTCAGGTTCCCCGCAAAGAGGGGGAGCAGGAGGTTTATTTTGTATCCTTTAAATATCGAGGCAGAAAAACGTGGGGCCTCCGCGTCGTGACTCCGGAGTCATCCCGTCCTCGCAGAAAAAACGATTCTGCAAATCCTTGTTTCTAAGAATGAAACCGACGAAGCTTGATTGCGGAGCCTGGCGGAAAGGGGCGCCCGACCCGAATCTTGCGCGGAACGAGGAAAGGCGAAGATGGTAGCGCAGGCCTCTCTGGGACCGGAATGGGAGGGGGGCCGATTTGGCCCCAAATCTGGGCAGGTTTCGCGGGACGCAGACAAGCTCCGACGCAGAAGGGCAGGGCTCAGCATTCTTGTGCAGCAAAGGAGGAGGTGGGTGTAGAAAAGGTTGCTCGCCCCTCCAAGGCCGGAGCAGCGATCCTGCCTCGCGCGGACCAGGCGCTGCGCAGCTTCTGCCTCGGCGGCGCGTCCGCCTTCTCTTGGCCTCGCCTGGACGGCTCCTGGGTGCCCTGAGTCGCCCCTCCCCGCCCAAGGCCCTTCCTTCGACGGAGAGCGTGAGGCTTTTGGCTCTGGCCCGCCCGGGACGGGGAGAGCAGCCCGTGCCCGCCCCCCGACGGGCCCTTCCTCAGGCCGACTCTCATTACCATGTTGGAAATGCAAATCCAGCCCGCGTCTCGCTCCCATCCCCGGCCGGCGCGTGAAAGGAGAGCGGCCCATCAAAGGGTCTTTGTTCCGCGCCCAGGAGGGGATTAAGCCCCCGCGGCGCCCCCTCACAGCCAGCCAGGGAACGAGGCTGCAGCGGGGCCAACGGTTTCCCTGGACGCGCTCCTGTGCCTCGGAGGGCGCAAATCCATCAGGATCGCGACTGGAAAGAGCGCCGCCGCGGCGGGTTGCATTCTCTCGCCAGCCCCGCAAAAGCATTGCTCGGTTCGCGAAATTGCCGCCGGCCAGACACGCTCCTGGTCCGGGGCGAATTTGGCCGATGGGGATCCGCGCGGGGCCTCCCGTCCCTTGGAAGCCCGGAGCCACTGGCCTCCAGCAGACATGGACGGGGCTCTGAGCTCCCTGGAAGCCGTAGCGGCTCCAGGATGCTGAGGTCTGATGGGTCCGTCCGGCTCCTATTCGAACCGGGTAGACCTGGGGAACGGAGGGCACCGAAACTGCTTCCATCATCGGCCAGAAGGAGAAAGAGCCGCCTTGGCGAAGCAGCCCCGAGGCGCTGGACCAACATTTCAGTTTGTTTGTTTCATGAAATTTACACGCTTCCTTGACAGGGAGAAAACCCTCGAAGCGGTTTACAAAGAGAATACGACAATGAAATTATCAGTAGAAACAACTCTTTAAAAGATAAAATCTGCAGCAAAGTAAAAGCAGATTAAACGACGCATCCACATTCCACCTGCAGGGAACTGATTCCTGCTGGGTGTCTCTGCCCCCACCCCCCCTCTTCCTGGGGTTTCTAAGCACCTGTTGAGCCCTATAAAAACCTAGGAAGGTCTTACCAGTGATATTTTCCCCTTAAACGGGGGGGGGGCAGGGGGCGTTGGCTTCCCCCTCCCTTCCTCTCAGCCTGGCAGGTGTGTTCTTCCTCCTCTACCCCCCACTCCTGGTCCCAAAATCAAGACCCCACGTTGCAGTGCCCTGCCTGAGGACCCCAGTTGTTTCAGCACAGGCTGGCAAAGGGACTCTGACCCTGGGAAGGAGGTCACCCCCCCCTCACTGGGCAGCCCCGACCCCCCCACATCTGCCCGCCTTGCTCTGTGGCTTCATCCAAGTTGCCCTTGCAGCAAATGTTGGGTTTTCCTTCGCGAGCAGCAAGTTGCCAGTGATTAAATTGATCGTTATGCTGTTGGCTTTTTTTCTGCTATCGAGTATGGCACTTGGGTTTCTCTCTTCAAAATTCCAGAAAGACCTGTGTACGACATATTGGCCTTCATCACCATAGTTGTTTTTTTATGCTTTCTGGGCAGAGACACCGCCCCCCCCACCCTTCTGTCCTGCACTGTTGTTGTGTTGTAAATTATCGTCATCACTGTTAACTAACTATCCTGCAGAAATTAAGCCCGTTTAAGTCTCCTTGCTTTTATTAACTTGGGAGTTAAGTGGACCCTTTAACTGTCACCTGTGGCTTAGCTTTGGCATGGGATCGATGCGCAATGCAATGGATGTGGAATGATGATGGAGCTGGTGGTTTGTCTTTCACTTCATTGATCAGCACAAAACTTTCCTCCTGAAACAGGCCTGGAGTCTCTCCTCCCAGGGCTGGTGCAATCTACACTCTTGTTTGCTCTGGCCACGAAAGCCAGTCTTCCCTGAAAGAGACAAGGCATCAGTGGCTGGCAAAGCAGCGGGCATTGCCAGGCCGACTTCACCATCCTGCGACCGTTTCCTAAAAGTGGCCTTTCCCCAGGCGAATCCCACCTAGTGTCCTCTCTGGGTCTTTGGGGTGTGTGTGTGTCTTGGACTGACCATCACCACCACCACCTTCACGGTCGGAAGTGCAGCAGGTGCCTGTAAGATCTCCACCTTTTTCTGTGGCATCACACCAGGGTTGTGGGTTCCTTGTCTACAAGACTTTGCCTGGTATTTAGGAAAGCCAGACGAGACTCTTTTATTTCAGGGAGATTTTAAGATGCATTTTTTATGTTGCAAACTGCCCAGTGGATCTTTGAATGAAGGGTGGCATAGAAATTTAATTATCGCTGCTATTATTATTATTATTATTATTATTACTACTACTACTATTATTATTGCTACCAATTATTAATACTATTAAACTGAATAAATCAAGCCTGAGTTCGTGCCATGTGAAATGTTGGGTTTTATAATTGATTTAATGGTGTTTTCTTCCTGTTTTTATTTTCTTTTTCACTGTGTGCTATTCAGAGACTTAGAGTGAGAGGTTTTGAATTTAATAAGTGAATAAGAATAAATGAATCCATAGAAGGGACTTTTTGGAGGCAAAAAGTCCAGACTTGGAACTCTGAAAATGAAGTGCTTTAGCTAGTATGCCGCTCGTCAGGTTTAAGCTCAGGGGGAAAAAATAGCAAGAATTATGATAACCTGGTTTATTTATTTTTATTTATGTGTTAAATCCGTATCCTGCCTTTCATCCGTAGATCTCAGGGTGGTTCACAGCATAAAATTATGATAGATTGTCATCATTATTACACTATGCTCTGTTGATGAGATGATCTCTTAATCTCTAGGGTGTATTGGGGGGCAGCACACCCATTAAAACAATACTTGGCAGGCTCTAGGGTGAATTCCCCCTTTGCCAGCCCCAGCAAGCTGAACAGGGACCATTGCAAAGAGGAGAGGGGTCTTTATCTTCTCCCGCCATCCCCGGGGCCTGTAGAGGAACGCTTCCCAGTGGACAAACTCTAATTGAGCAGCACTTGAACTGCTTATTCAGCCAAGATGTTCTAGCACTAAGCCTATTTTAAGTTGCTCCCAAAACAAATGCACTTTCAGAAGAAAAACTTGAGTCCTTCCCCCTCCCAGCCCAGCCCAGTATATTCCCAGACACACAGCAACCATCATTTCTCAAAACATGTTTTTTCTCCCCTTTAAATTAACCACTTGGGATGGTGGTCCCTGTTTGCACAAAAGGAGCCTGGATCTCAGTGTCGGCAAAGTGTCCTTCAGAAAGGAAGGCTTCTAGGTTTGTTTGTCTGCTGTGAGGACATTTGAGGGTTCCTTGGGCGAAATCGGCAGAACCCTCCTTTTAGTTTCCCAAAGCAAAGCATTTTCTCCCCAATGAATTCACTCAAATTCCTGATGGGAAGTTTGGCTGGAAATCTAGTATATGGTGCTAGAGCATAATTTGTGTATTTGGAATTTATTATTCTGGAGTTCATCAGGTCACTTCTCTATTATTCATTTAGTATTTAATTTCCACCCTCTTTATTAATAAAACCGATCAACCCATTTTCTAAAGAAAGCAAAGAGGTTTATGAAGTGTAAAAATGGTCGGCAGCGTTCTGAAGAGCCCGTCCTGAGCAGCCACAGATTTTCCGTGCTTAATGGAATTTATGCGGCACCCAGACAATTTCAGGGAATGGGGAGCCGCTCTGGGCAGAGGGAGTCCCCAGAGGAAGGCAGGGGCTGCTCTCTCCCTTTTATTTCTGGAGATTAATGGCATGAGAGTTTATTTTGAACGGAGACGCAGGAAGGCCCCTGGGTCACATAGAAACATGGTAGCTGCCTGTTGTTATTATTATCATTAATATTTATTAATCACACACGCTTCACCCCAAGGTCCCAGGGCAGGCCACAACATTAAAACACAACAATAAAAAGATGTTTAAAACAAAAGGGCCAAAGCCGAATATGTTCGGACCCCATTAATTTATGCTGGATAAATAATAACGATCAGTTTACAAATAATGAAACACAACTAAATGTGTGTATTTCATAGGGATTAACACAACTGAAATTAATAAAAATTGAAATCTAAATTTTAAAAAAATGTTTACAACAGTGGGAGGGAAATGCCACCTCTCTCTCAGGCCACTCGGTCTCTAGATCAGCCGGGCAAAAATTATCTGCATCTCTAAGCAAGAAGACAAAGTAGGCGCCTCATTCTTCCACATGCAACTTGCAGGAGGGGGGGGGGCATGAACCGCTATGCTAAACGTGAACCAACAAATAATAGTCTTTAGATCCAGGTTGTTCCTTTCAAGTAGAGCAGAATCAACCCTGTGGATATTTGCTCTCTCTTTTGTCCTCTCTTTTACCTTAGGCACGGGAGAGTATTTTCCAGCTTTTCTGTCAACCGCTTTAAAAAGTAATTTGTAACTGGGCTCTGCAACTGAGCCTTACTTTTGCATGTGTGCATTTCTGGAGGGTGCGTGTGGCGAGGTTATTTCATGCCTGCACACAAATGCTCCCCCCCCCCGTAGCCCCCCCCCCCCGCTGGGCTGTGCCTCCGGGCTCCCTGGTTTCCCCACTGGGCGTTTTAGACTACAGGTGATTTTTGGAACTGGGTCCCGTCCTGCCTTTTTTGTTTTCTCTTATATTTTGTTTTCTTGTATTTTCTTCTGCTTATTTGATCATTAGTAGCATGAATTATTTTTGTTACATGAATTAATTTTATTTTCACTTTTGCACCTTGCTCTGGAATCTGTTGACCAAGGACAATCAACAAACATTTGAAATGAATAATAAGCATTTAACCAGATCTGGGCTTTGCGATAGCTTTCTTTCCACTCCAGTTGCAAAGAAGCCCATCTCTGAATGCTGACTTAGGGGAGAGCACCTTCTCAGGTTCTGGTGAGCTAATTGCTTTGTCCAACAAGTAGGCCAAAGGCAGGTCTGTGTGTCCACCCCCACTGACCCTCAAAGTGAGGATGACCCAAGCCGTTTTGTCTCTCCTAAAAGGTTTCTGTTGCAGAACTCCCTGCAGAGGCTATGCGGGTGCAACTCTAAGACCACAGCCTGCCTCATTCAAGCCCCACTCACAGAGCAATTGCTGCTGCAATTGAGTTAGAGCAGCTTCCTTTCTGGAAATAAAACAAGGAGGAAATTGGAGTTGATGAGGCCACAAAGGCAGCTCACGCAGGCCTGGTCCCGCCAAGCAGCGTTCTCTCCAATTTCTTCCGCTAGAGGACTACAAATGCCATTGCTTATACTTGGGGCAGGAGTGGAAGTGTCTGGGATCGGGTGTCCTGGCCCATCCAGTGACCCCTCATCCACTTGGCCTTCCTCGTTCGTTCTTTGCATCTGTTAGTGGTTTGGTTCCTTGCACAGCTGAGCTCTTGCCTGGTGGAGGCAGGAGGTGGGAGATGGCTTTTGACACTGTGGAGTGGACCCTAATACCCAGCCTTCTCTTCTCAGGTGGCGAAGTGTCCCAGGAGAGCCTGCTCTTACACGGCCCCTTTGCCAGGAAGCCCAAGAGGATCCGCACGGCCTTCTCGCCCTCGCAGCTCCTGCGACTGGAGCGGGCCTTTGAGAAGAACCACTATGTGGTGGGGGCAGAGCGCAAGCAGCTGGCCAGCAGCCTCAGCCTCTCAGAGACCCAGGTGAGTGCCAGGCATCCCACACAGCCTCCTGGGGGAGAAGAGGCTTTCTGCAAGAATGGGGCCTGTGTGCCTCTCTCTCCCTCTCTCTCACAAAAATTGCTTGGAATTTCATCAGTATTTTAAAAACCTCCCTGTGGCTTAAGAAATGAAAATCTACAATATGGTTGACTAGTATTTTTTGTTTAAAACACTTTCTTTCTTTCTTTGCAATAATATTTGGGGGTCCCATTTTCTACATTGCTTCTCTCACATATTAGAGGACCAGTCCTGCCTCGAGGCTCCTTTGCAGAACTTGGCTCTCCTCCTCATGTCTTCAGACAACGAAGGCTCGGAGGCCAGGAGTTAAAATGCTGCTGGTTTTAGGAAGCAAAGGGTTCCAGGTAACCACCCGCTTGCAACATTTTGCCTCCCTCGGACAGCTGTTCCCATCAGGATGGCAGTGGTGGGGATTCCCATTATCGTAGAAATGTCGGGTGCAGCGGGATATTATATGGTATATATATATGTATATATGTATATATATATATGTATGTATATGTATATCATAACACTTATGCACCGCTTGATTGTTAAAAAAAAATCAGAGCAGTTTACAAAGAGAACAAAGCAATAAAATTATCAGTAAAAGCAGCTCAAAAGATAATATCAGTAATAAACTAAAAGCAGATTAAAACCTGCATCGACACCTGGGTAGGCTTGCCTGACAAAAATGTTTTAAGCAGGTAACGAAAACAGTGCAGTGAGTTCCAGTGCGTCGGTGCCTCTGCCCAAGGTGGTCGCCGCAGGGACCCCATTGGACCCAGGCTTCACTTTCTGGCTGCACTGGCTTTCCACTTGTGTGTGCACCCATGTCATCGAACCATAGGCTGGTGGAGTTGGAAGGGACCCGAGGGCCCCCTCGCCCAGTTCCCTGGCCCCGCTCCTCTGCATACCTTCCAGCTTGTAATTTGTGTCACCTGGAGTTGGGTGAGCGAAGGCTGTGCCTGCAGTGCAGCATCTCTGGGATTCTCTTTGAACATGGGTCCTGCGCACGTGGCTGGTGGCGCATGTGCTTTGTACTGGCAGCCCCCTCCTTGTCTCCTCTTTCAAACAGTTCCCTTGTCGTGTCCCAGAGGGCGAATGCCTGGCCTCTTGTAATATACGCGGACACCCTGCTGGAGCCCCTTACTCCCGCTGCTGCGGCTGCTGCGGTTTTGTTTGACAGTGGAATCCAGCCCGGAGCATGTGGAATATGCACAGGGAGGGGTCTTGAGCCCTCTCTGAGCCCCGGGCTCATCGACTCGCTTCCAGCCTTGGTTCCTTCCCTGCAAAACGGGAACAATACTCTTCAGACTTGCAGGTCCATGAAGAGGAAATGCAAGAGAAAGTGTCTTTAAAAAAAAATCTTGCATGAAATAATCTTCCATTATTTCTAGGAACTGTGCAAACTGCCTGTTTGTGATGGAGCTGTGGGATTTCTTTTCTCTTTTTTTTAAAAAAATCAGTAATTGGAATCCATATTTTAATTCTAAGAACTTTGGCCTACTGCACACACAACCATTTGTGACCCAACAACCTTCTATGTCAGTGGTTCCCAAACTCCCCCCCACATTGGTCACTTGAAGATCTCTGCGAGTCTGGATGGGCCACTGAATGGTTTTTCTGCCCCTTTAACAACTGCAATATGTTGGGCTAGATGCTCTGTGATTTGTAATTTGCATTGCTTCTTCTGTTTACTATATTTTGCATTGCAGTTTGAATTCCACTGAATACAATATAATGAGCAAAAGAAGCCATAACAAGATACAATTCCAAACCAACAGGGTGCTGGTGTTGGGCGAGTCATCTCCCGGCTTCAGCCACAAATCCGCAGACATGCAGGGGCCGACTGAAGGAAGGAACCCTGTAGACCCCCAGGGGTCCACAGACCACAGTTTGGGAGCCCCTGTTCTAGTTGATGAAGGCTATCAGTCATAGGCGCCGACTCCATGGGGCTTGAGGGGGCTGGAGCCCCCTCAAAAAAATTTTTGGGGGGGCTCAGCCCCCCCAATAATCTCGGGCGGGCGCCCTTCCAGCAGAGCGCCGCCGCCGTCCCCCGCCTCCTCCCCACCTGCTCCTTCGCCAGCCAGCCAGCCGCGCGCCCTAATCAGAGAGCCCCGGCCGGAAATCCCGCGAGAACAGGGGAATCCCGACTGGCCACACCTCCCAGCCAGCCAATCGGCTGGCTGGGGGGGCGTGGCTTGCCCTATTTAGGGCCGGAGCCACTTTATTTGCATATTCATGAGCTTATTTATTATTCATGAGCTTTCCCGGGCCCCCCCAATATTTTTTCTAAGTCCGCGTCCCTGCTATCAGTGGCTCCTGGCCATGCTAACTATGCACTGACTGTGGGCTTCCTGCCCAGATTTAGTTGAGCACTGTTGGATTCCCAAAGCAAGGGAGCTCTTATTGTTAGCGATGCACCTCTGGGGGTTCTGGAGAGTCAAGCTGTTTGTGCAAAGTGCCTTTCCTCCCCATGTGGCCCTAGTTGTGGTCTTCTGGGGCAGTGGTGTGTTCTGGTGAGAAAGTGGTGTGTTACACCATGTCTTATATGCCCTCAGGGAGACGAGGGCAAGGTGCTTGGAGATGCAATGGCAGCTATTTTCATTTATGCATTTATTTCATAAAATTTATATGCCACTTGATTGTAGAAAAATCTTCAAGCGGTTTAGCAAAAAGATAAAACAAACCATCACTAACAATTTTACAAACATAATTTGAAGCATGTAGGAAATTAAAACATACAGAAAGCAATGGAATAGACTAAAACAAATTAAAGCTCATACTTTCTTTCTAAACGTCTGCGTAGGCTTGTCTAAATAAGAATGTTTTTGGCAGAAGCTGGAAAGAGCACAGGGAAGGTCCCTGATTGCTATCAATAGGCAGGAGAGAGAGAGATAAAACTTTATTCGCATTAGCCAATGGCCATAGCAACAGTAACACACTACAGTATACGCAGAAAAGGAAATTTGATATAAAAGCACAATTTAAAGTCCTGAATCAGCAGTCAGTTAGTTCCAACGTGTCTGTGCTGCCACACTAAAATACCAAGTTCTTCCAGATGTGGTGAGGGTATTCTGTGGCACCTGGAAAAGTGCCGAATCTGCAGATTGAAGTGGTCCACTTTTTAATTCCACTCCCTCCCATCAAAGTCAATGAGGGGAAAATTCCTTGCACCAGAAATGGGGGCTGATGCAAATGTGCTTACTTCTGCCCCGCTTGAAAGATAGACTTAAGAAGGAAGTTGGAAAAGGGACACTCCTTACCACTTCCTCTCTCGGCTCTCTGTGCTTTCGGATTGACACTTGAGCAGCTGGACAGAAAGCAGAGCGACTGAGAGAGTCGGGCGGAGAAAGGGGAGCAATATGAGAAAGTGGAATGTGGGGTTGGAGAGAAGCAACCAGGAGCAGGAGGGTTGCCCACAGCACGGTTCAAAATTCCGAATGGTGGTCATGTTGGTGGATGAGAATGAGGCTTGCAAGTTTTACTGTTGTTTGGCACAAATGACCACGTGAATGAGGAAAATCATCTAGCAGTGGCTGGGTACTTCTTTCCTTTTATTTAGTAGGATTCCTGCTTCATGCTAGCAGTTTAAACGGCAACCTTTGCAAGATGGTTTGCATTTCTAATTAACAGCTACTAAATGCTGCGTTTCAGCCAGACAGCCAGTGATCTTTGGCTAAAGCTCAGCGTGTTTTACAGGTTGAACCTGTGTGAGGAAAATACGGGAGGACAGCAGTCGTGCTGAACCTACTCAGTTGGCTATTACATTATGTACTGCCACTCCTTGGAGAAACGCTGCCTGCATTTTCAGACCCCCCTTGTGGGTGGGGCTGCAGGGGGCTCTCGGGATGAGTTCTGTCGCTTCAGAATTCACTTCAACATCACTGGTTATATATGACACACATTTCTCTAGATGCGGTTGGGTTTGCTGAAGGCTGATGAGCAGGCTGTTTTGACTTGAGGAATTGTAAAGGTAAAGGTAAAGGGACCCCTGACCATTAGGTTCAGTCGTGGCCGACTCTGGGGTTGCGGCGCTCATCTCGCTTTATTGGCCGAGGGAGCCGGCGTACAGCTTCCGGGTCATGTGGCCAGCATGACTAAGCCGCTTCTGGCAAACCAGAGCAGCACATGGAAATGCCATTTACCTTCCCATCAAAGCGGTACCTATTTATCTACTTGCACTGGTGTGCTTTCGAACTGCTAGGTGGGCAGGAGCAGGGACCAAGCAACGGAAGCTCACCCCGTCGTGGGATTCGAACTGCTGACCTTCTGATCGGCAAGTCCTAGGCTCTGTGGTTTAACCCACAGCGCTTTGAGGAATTGTACTACTGCCCAAATAGGATGTAATCATGTCTGTAACTTGGAAGAAAACCTGACAACTTTTAGGAGGCAGAATTTATCTGGCCTAAGAGGGCTTTTGTTGAAAACGGCACCACGATCCCTCAGGTCAGTGCAATGCCTGATGGCATCTCCTTCCATACAATGATGGATGGACCATCTGCACTCCCTGTCCGTGTCAGGATGCTGCCTGCTCAGGGCTGGCAAAGAAGGGAAAAAGAAGAATGTTTGGCCAGCTTCTCTTGCAGGGCGTAGGACTAGAGATGACCATTTGCGTCCCTTCCAAGCCTGCAATTCTGTGCTCATAAGCTGGCAGTCCAGTATATGTGCCTTAACATTTCATGTTGTCAGAATACTTAATATGTGTCTTGACGTCTCCTTTTTATTTAATTTAATGCTATTCTGCAAAACCTGTTGCTTTGAAAGCTGCATCGCAGTTTGCAAGCACACTCACTCTGGAAATTTGCTCAAAGGTGCGCCAGGCGCGCCAAAGGCTGATCTGCCAGGAAGGGTGAGAGAAGAAAAGTCTTTTGAAATGGTTGGTATCTGTGCTCTGAGTTAATGTGCTCAGGATGCAGAGGAGCAGAATGGATTTTATGCGCCTGGTGGGTCGCTAAGAGACTTACACTTTGAGCCCTTAAGGATAAATGCTCAGTCTATGCTGCAGTGGAATGAAGACCATTTAAACGCACTTTCTGTAAACATCGGCTTGGATACATATTTGCTCATTTGGGTGGCATGTACTGATCTGTTTGTGTAAACCGAGATGGATGTGCTGATGCAAAAATGTATTGTTAATGTGAGCTTGGTTTTCTCCTTGCGTCCCGCGTCCCCCCGCCCCCCGATTTTTCTTAATGGATTTGCAATTTTAAAACACCAGTAAAAAAGGACATAGGAGTTAAATTTCAAAGTGAACTGGTGTCATTTGAAGGTTCTGCTCTGGGGGCTTTTCGGGTGGGGAAGAAACTCCTTTGGCTGCGCTGGCGAAGGAAAACGCACCCTCCATTGCCAGGCAGGGGGCTGGAACTTGGAATAGCAGAGGACAGACAGACTTTGTAGTAACTTGGACACCACAGGAGTTTGAAGTGTTATGAATTTATTTTTTAAAAAATATATATCTGCCATATAAGCTTTTTAAATATCGAAACAGCTTACAAAATCCAACCGATTTGCTATATGACTGACATTATTTTAGTCCTGCGTTGCTGAGCACTTGGGTTCTGTGGGAGAGGGTGAGGGCCAGACCCCCTTCATGACCCCCAAGCTCAGTTCCCAAACAGTGGAATAAAACTTCTCTGAGTGCATGCGGAGTACAGTTCCTGCACAGCCGGGCCACCCTCTCAGTATGTTCTGGGTGCAGGACTTCCACCCAAATCAGGACTTAGGGCTCATTCAGACCTCTGTATGTCCTGCTGTCCGCCCCCCACCCCCACCCCGGAAACCTGCTCTTTCGCACAATCAGGTTTTCCGTGGATTGATGTTCACTCCAGTTCAGCACTAAAGAGCAGGTTTTCCCAGGGGAAACAGAAAACCACTTGGACCTGTGCTTTGTAGGACAGGCAGAAGTGTGGGCGATTCCTTGGTGAGAGGGACTGAGGCCAAGAGGTGCCCCATTTCCCCTTTGCCGTGACCTCAGTCAATTGACTCAGCTTCAGCTGCACCACTGACGTGTGCGGCTGGTTGTGGCGGCGATATGACTGGCTACTGGATGGGCCCCCTTTGGCCTGATCCAGCAGGCCTTCCTTATATTCTTAAAAGTGATATTAGGTATCTCAATCTGCAGCAAAATTATGATAATTTGATTAAGCAGTCATGCACAGAATGCCTTGTTAATTTCTTTATTTTTAAAGACCGATAGAGGAAGTGCAATGACACTCTCCAAGATAATCCTGGGTGTAGATCTTGCAAACTGAGTTGGTTTCTGAAATGTGGGTTCAGTGGGGAGCTTGCATCCTTTGGGCCGCTGGGAACAATATGGCTTGGGACTCTGTGAATGCGCTCAGGTGAGGGGCAAAAGGAAGTGGGGGCACGAGAGGGAACACCCACAGAAATCTCCCCCCACATGTGACAAACTGACCATACAAAAACTTGGGTCTTCTTCTGCTAATGAGCTTCTACACCAGCAGTGACGGAGGCTGTACAATGGGTCGTTTTTACAATTTTTTCCACAGCATGGGAAAACCTGGATTAAATGTAGCAAAAAGTAAAGGTAAAGGTACCCCTGCCCGTATGGGCCAGTCTTGACAGACTCTAGGGTTGTGCGCCCATCTCACTCAAGAGGCCGGGGGCCAGCGCTGTCCGGAGACACTTCCAGGTCACGTGGCCAGCGTGACATCGATGCTCTGGTGAGCCAGAGCCGCACATGGAACGCCATTTACCTTCCCGCTAGTAAGCGGTCCCTATTTATCTACTTGCACCCGGGGGTGCTTTCGAACCACTAGGTTGGCAGGCGCTGGGACCGAACAACGGGAGCGCACCCCGCCGTGGGGATTCGAACCGCCGACCTTTCGATCGGCAAGCCCTAGGCGCTGAGGCTTTTACCCACAGCACCACCCGCGTCCCCATGTACAGCAAAAAGTACAGGCTGGCATTTCAGTGGCGATGACACCATATTAAGCTTTCATACATGAGCTGCTGGGGTGCACACAAAAAAATCCTATCTGGAAGCGCCCAGGATTCTGTCTTTCAAAGGGTGCTCAGATTGTTCTCAACAGCAAAAGCAGAGCTGCTGTTTTCATTTATTCTAAAATAGAGCATAAGATCATAGAGTTGGAAGGGACCCTGGGGGTCATCTAGTCCAACCTCCTGCCATGCAGGAATCCCAACTAAAGCAGCCATCATCATCATCATCATCATCAAACATATGTTTGTGTGTCCCTATTTCTGTATTACATCATTTTGACTGGCTGTCTCTTTGCTCTGTGTTCTCTGACAACCCCCACAAGGCAATGGACCACTTTGCCCCCTGAGGGAGGTTTGCTTTCTCCCAAATTTTAGAAGTTGCTCTGCAGCCTTTCTGAGGACAGCTGTTTGCCCGTCCATCTGGCCACTCGCCCTCCATCCTTGTCCAAGCGGAAGCAGCCTCTTCGATAAGAGGTGCTCCCTGCCACAAAATCTGTGCGGGTGGAGTTTTAGTTTGCAATACACAATAGCTGTAAGAAATCCATATTTTAGTGTAGCGGCAGCTGCACTGTGGAACTCCCTGCCTCTTGATATCACACAGGCTCCTTCACTGTACTCTTTTCAGAGCCAACTAAAAACGTGTCTGTTTGGACAAGCCCAACCAGATGTTTAACCCATCTTCAGCCGATTGCTGGTTTTAGATTCTGAATGTTTTAAAGAGTTGCCTTTACTGTTTTTACTGATAACTTTATTGTTTTCTACTCATTGTAAACAACTTTGAGGTGTTGGGTTCCCAGCACCACCAACCAGACAGTGGATAATTTTAATGAAAGGAATACATAAATTTTCTTACTTGCTTTGATTGTCTAGGGTAGGTTGGAGTAAATATTTTGTATGAATAAATAGGCAGGCAACCGTCCAGCCTCTTGGGCTGAAGTTCAGAGGCAGTGAGGAGCTCAGTGTTTTAATTACTTAAATAAACTAGTAGGAACACTTCTAAAATGCATTGAGACCACCCGGCCTTAATTTCCAGGCTCCATTTCCACATCTTCCTTCCTTCCTTCCTTCCTTCCTTCCTTCCTTCCTTCCTTCCTTCCTTCCTTCCTTCCTTCCTTCCTTCCTTCCTTGCAGTTTTATCAGTTTTAAGAAATACAAAGATTCAGAAAAATTGTACAATGTAGCTTACAAATCTTAAGAACACACTAAATAATAATATGAATAGCAATATGAAAAGATATAAGAAACAAAAGAGTGGTCAGGATCGGTGGGTGTGGGGTGGAGAGTACTGTTAGGAGCACATTTAAACATTTCTTAAAGGTAAAGGTAAAGGTACCCCTGCCCGTACGGGCCAGTCTTGACAGACTCTAGGGTTGTGCGCCCATCTCACTCAAGAGGCCGGGGGCCAGCGCTGTCCGGAGACACTTCTGGGTCACGTGGCCAGCATGACATCACTGCTCTGGCGAGCCAGAGCCGCACACGGAAATGCCGTTTACCTTCCTGCTAGTAAGCGGTCCCTATTTATCTACTTGCACCCGGGAGTGCTTTCGAACTGCTAGGTTGGCAGGCACTGGGACCGAACAACGGGAGCGCACCCCACCGCGGGGATTCAAACCGCCGACCTTTCGATCGGCAAGTTCTAGGCGCTGAGGCTTTTACCCACAGCACCACCCGCGTCCCATAAACATTTCTTACCAACAAACAAAAAATAGAGAACAATGTTTGGGGCTTATATATTGTTGTATTTAGAGAGCCGTATAAGCAGAGAGAGGATTGTCACCTGTATTTCATTACATCAATCAAAGACTTCTGAATGCTGGATGCAGATTCAAATTGTGCGAGTCACCCTTTGCATGCTTAATAAAATCATACCATATTGCAAATAATAATACTAATGTTCGTTTTGTTTTGTCCTCTTGCTACTCTTCATGAACAGGCCATGTTTTTCCAAAAGGGTGACTGCGCACACTTTGCTGTGCCATGCTCAGAGCATAGCCCCCAACTAAATCTTCCCAGTGACTGGCAGTGACATACCTGGTGGCCGATAATAGACACCATCTCGCTGCAGTGCGTGGGTACAACTTCAGTTTCAAATAAGTGCATAACTGGAGTCACTGTGCGGTGAATAATTCTGCCTCTTTCTTGGTAAACTGAGCTCCTCAGCCTCTTCCGCTTTCGTGTCTCCCGCAGGTGAAGGTCTGGTTCCAGAACAGGAGGACCAAATACAAGAGGCAGAAGTTGGAAGAGGAAGGCCCAGAGTCGGACCAGAAGAAGAAAGGCTCCCACCACATCAACCGATGGCGGATCGCCACCAAGCAATCCAACGGAGAAGACATTGACGTCACGTCCAACGACTAGGAGGGAGGTGGGAGGAGGCTGCTGGCAAGACAGTTCGCGGACAGGACCGCGTGGGAAGGGGGGGAACCGACTCTGGAGACTGAGCCAGGACAGGGCAGCCTCCCACTGCCACGCGTGGGCTGTCCTCCGTGGGGGAACGCGCTTCGCCTCAGAGCCCCCTTCTCCCTGGGGCTCCCGCCAGCCCTCCAGCCCACGGGGCCGCCTGTGGGGATAGGGAATGCACTTGATGGCCAAGGATGGCCGAGGTGGGAGACTGTATCGGCTCCAGGAAAAGGAAGGGCTTAGCCGCCTGCTCCAGCAAGGAAGTCCCCCGTCAGCCATATGAGCAAATAAACACGTCCACCAAGACCCATGCCCTCCACACTCCTCCTGTCTTTGTTGGGCTTCGGTTGGGTTGACTATTATTTTTCTAATGGCAGCAAACCCATTTTCTCTTTAATTTATTCTTCAGTGTCTCTGCGTTTGGTGTGTGCATATCCCCTGTGTCGTAGATAGCAACAGATGTAGTGTGTGTTACTGTGCGGTAATAAAAACAACATGGGTTTGAAACATGTCGCCTTATCGTAGCCAGCTCCCGTGCAGGAGGGGGATCTGTTTGCAGGAACCGGTGGAATCGAGGCTTCGCAGACATCCCAGATGTGCTCCCAAGCCTTTAGGAAAGCGTGGCAAAGATAATTTCCTGAGATAATTTTCCAGGTGGGAATTAAACACTTCTGGTTCTGGGGTATACCTATTGAAGGGAAGAGCGCCAAGGGTCATTGATGCCAGAATCTGTGATGCCAGAATCACAGCTCAAAAATCACAGCTCAAAAATCCCTGACAGGTGCCCATCTGACCTCCGTTTCTAAACCTCCAAGGAAGGAGAATTCACCACCTTCTGAGGGAGCCAGTTCAGCTGACAAACAGCTCTTACACCCAGAAAGTTCTTCCTGATGCTGACCTCCAGTCTCCTTTCCTGGCATTTGACTTCTAAGCCTCTCTTATTCTGGAGTGCCCTCATTCTGGGCGCACAGAGGCTGAGATGGGCAGAACTGGGAGAGGCAGAGCTGCTGCACGCCAGTTAGAGGGCTCTGCGGCGTCATACTGGGCGTCTCAGCTGCCTGCTGGCCGAATGCTCCTTTGAACACCCTCAGCCCTTGCGCAACACAGCTCCTATCAGCCCAAGCACCTGCTACGAAGAAGGTGGCATGAGGGCCATTGCGTGGAAGGTGTATTGGCGCAAACTGCCTCCCCCCAGTTCAGCCACTGGCCATTTATTCAGCCTAGTATTATCTACTCACTAGACCCGAGGTAGGCTGCCAGTTGACAGCTGCAGATTTTGGGGACCAAAGGTGGAGGTGGCACTTCTGCTGGCATATCTATCTATCTATCTATCTACCTACCTACCTACCTACCTACCTATCTCTATCTATCCACTTTTGGGTTTCCCTAGACATCTGGTTGGCCACTGCAAGGGCAGGATGCTGGACTAGATAGGACACAAATCTCGATATGATATGATACCTTTATTGTCATTGTCCCATACAGAACAATGAAATTGAAAAATCTACATAAGACATTCAAAAACCCTTAAAAACTCTGAAACCCCATTTTAAAATACAACACACTATAGACACTCCTTATGCTGCGTTTAGAACCAGAATTGCATTTGCGTTGAAACTGTTTCTCAGGCGGCTAGTCCTAGTCTTTATAACCCTGGACCTTCTTCCAGAAGGCAGAAGCTGAAAGAGATCATTTCTGGGGTGCGCACTATCCTGCGCTATCTCTGCAGCTTTCTTATGGCTCCTGACAGCATAGATTTGATCTAAGGTGGGAAGAGTGCACCCAATTATTCTCTCTTCTCCTGTCCTTATATCCAGTTCCCTGGCTATTAAGGGCCAGACGAGCACCATGAATTAGGCTTGGAAGCAGTCCTCTAAATTGGCCTTTACCAACCAGGTGCCCTCCAGATGTTCTGGACTACAAGTGGAATGGACAGTCCAGCAGTGGAGTGGGCTCCCTTCGGAGGCGGTGGACTCTCCTTCCTCAAAAGCTTTTAAGCAGAGGTTGGTTGGCCATCTGTCATGGATGCTTGAGCTGAGATTCCTGCATTGCGGGGGGTTGGATTAGAGCACCCTCCGGGTCCCTTCCAACTCTACCGTTCTACGATTCCTTCAGCCCCAGCCAGCACACTGTTGTAACCCAGAACACCTGGAGGGCACCTAGACCCAGCTATCAGCATGTTTGAACCAATTCTCAGACTTCTTTCAAGACCAGTCCAAGAGAGCAAGCATGCATGAACCATGGCAGCTAAACCACATCCTTATATGGAAACGTCAAAAGGGAACTTGTGGGTTGTGGTTTTATGTGCCAGTAATGAACCTGGCAGGGATGGTGCCTGGTGGCGTTAGAGAGGCAGCAGCCAGAGGAGGAGGAAAGGGGTCGTCTTCATTCCCCTGGAGGGGTGCAAAGTGGATCGTTATTTCCTGATTGCTTCGGCTTGTTGTGTTTCCTCCCTGCCACAAAGGCTGCCTCTGCTGATATTCATTCTTCTCCCAGATCACCCTTCCTCAGCCGGGTGCTCTGCAGATGTTTTGGAGAGCGCCATGTTCCAGCACCCCCACCCATCATGGCTCTGCTGGCTTTGGCTGATGGAGCTGCAGCCCCAAACACCTGGAGGGCTCCAGACTGAGGAAGGCTGTTCCAGAATGCTCAGCGCCTCCTCCACCGGCCTCCTTGTCGTCACTGGAAGCTACGTTTTAATTGAGCAACACAGAACGGACTGCAATGCACTGCGTGATCGGTTCTCTGGTGGCCAGAAGGTGGCACTCTTGCTTTTCTTGGCTCTGCTGCCAGAAAATGAAGCCCAGAGTGGGAGGGGGGCAGTGGAGGTGAGGAAAGGGGAGGCTGTGGGCAGGCATTCCTATTATTATTATTATTATTATTAATTATTATTAATTATTATTATTATTATTATTATTAATTAACCTGCCCTTCACTCTAAGGTCCCAAGGTAGTTTACACCATTAAAACACAATACAGTGGCACCTCGGGTTACATACGCTTCAGGTTACAGACTCCGCTAACCCAGAAATAGTACCTCGGGTTAAGAACTTTGCTTTGGGATGAGAACAGAAATTGTGCTCTGGTGGCGTGGCAGCAGCGGGAGGCCCCATTAGCTAAAGTGGTGCTTCAGGTCAAGAACAGTTTCAGGTGAAGAACCGACCTCTGGAACGAATTAAGTACTTAACCCGAGGTGCCACTGTATTCATAACAGTTTCAATTCCAGGAAAAAGGGGAGTCCTAAAAATATGGCAAGTCTTCAAAGGTGGGTGGCCACTTTAACTCCAAACTGCATTTGGGGGACTCCTTCCTTCCTTCCTTCCTTCCTTCCTTCCTTCCTTCCTTCCTTCCTTCCTTCCTTCCTTCTAGCGTGCTGTTGAGAACCAGCAGCCAAAGACCCCCGTGTCAAGGGGAGTGAGCAGAGCGAGCCTCTTTTCCTGGGAGAAAGGGACGTGCTCCTCTGGCCAGCCTGAGTCTCACGGGGAGGGACCTGGGCTCATGTCCTCCTGGAGGAGCCGAGAATGAGACCCAGGATGGCCTCAGGCCAGGGCAAGGGCCAAGCTCTGGAGAGAGACCGCTGAAGAGCCAGAGGCAGCTTTGGCACTAAGCCTCCCAGGCCAGAAGCCTTGCTTTTGCAAGGGGCGCATGAAGCACCAGAGGCAGCTTGCAAAGGAACCCCTTTAAAGCTGGGTGTTTTCCCTTTTTGCAGGAAATGCCTGCAAATCTCTGGGAGGCGATAGGAGGAGCCGGGCTCCGGTTGCAGAATAAGGCAGCAGGTCCGCGCATCCAGGCCACCCCTGAGACAGCCTGGAGGTTTTGCCAAGGCTCTGGCAGTGGCGCTTGTGCATGAGGCGGCTTTAGGATCTGAGCTTGGGGAGGGGAATCAAAAACCATCTTCTCTGCTGCCCTGCCAACCCCCCCTCCCTCAGTGAATCACCCCACCCCATTCAGGTGTGGGTGGGCAGAGGGAGCAGAGCCGCCTCCCTCGTGCCTTCTGCAAGGCAGCAGTGAGCTAGTTAAACCATGGAACTCCCTCCCACAGCATGCCAGGATGGCATCCGTCTGTCTCTGGAGACATTGGAGGAGGGGGGCCTTGGGGGGAGAAGTTGGCAGGTTGCAGCGCCTGCTGTGGCTGTAGAGACCAATACAGGAGAGACAGGTGTTGTTGCAGCTGGGGCAGAGGAAGGCGTCTGGTTGTGCTGCTGCAGATGCGCCAGGGTGTCTCTTCTCTCTTTGCTCCTCTCAGCGGCCATTTCTCCTCTTCTCACTGCTGTGGATGCAAAACCTGCCTGCCTGTCTCCAGGGACTGCGGTCGTCCGCAAGGGATTTCCACATGGTGGGGTTGATGTTGCCAGCCGCCATGTCTCGTTTGCAGACATAGGCTCCAACTCCTAGGGACCAAGCTCCCTTTGGCCCCCAAAAAATATTTGAGGGGGCTAGGCCATTCAAATGGTGAGAGTGCACCCTACCATGTGATTATGTGGGGGAGGACTTACCAGCCCCCCTGTATTTTATTCAAGTTGGTGCCCCTGTTTGCAGACATCTTTGTGACGCAGAGTTGGCTGGCCAATGGGCCTGGTGGCTGAAGCCAGCTCCCTGTCGACCACACCCTTGGGGACCCTGCCATCTTCCATTCTGTGGGCAAGACCAAGCCAGCTTGGTTGGAACTGTGGAACTCCCTGCCACAAGAGGCAATGATGGCCGCCGGCTTTAAAAGAGGATTGGGCAAATTCATGGATGAGGACGAGAGGGCTATTGACGGCTACTGGCCATGACGACTCTGCTCTGCCTCCACGGCCAGAGGCAGCGATGCTTCTGAATACCAGTTGCTGGAAATTTCAGGAGGGGAGAATTGCTCTCGTGCTTGTGTCCTATTTGAGGGTTTCTCATTTGGGCAACTGCTTGGCCACTGTGGGAACAGGAGGCCGGGTTACGTTTCTGAGCACAATTCAAAGTGTAGATGCTGACTTTTAAAGACCTAAACAGCCTCGGTCCTGTATACCTGAAGGAGCGTCTCCACCCCGGACACCGGGGTCCCTCTCCCGAGGGTCTTCTGGCAGTTCCCTCATTGCGAGAAGTGAGGTTGCAGGGAACCAGGCAGAGGGCCTTCTCGGTGGTGGCGCCCGCCCTGTGGAACGCCCTCCCAGCAGATGTCAAAGAGATAAACTATCTGACGTTTAGAAGACATCTGAAGGCAGCCCTGTTTAGGGAAGTTTTTAATGACTGATGTTTTAATGTATTTTGAATCTCTGTTGGAAGCTGCCCAGAGTGGCTGGGGCAACCCAGCCAGATGGGTGGGGTACAAATAATAAATCATCACCATCATCATCATATGGGCCATGGGCCTGATCCAGCAGGTTCTCCTGACCTTCTTACAAGCTGCAGCAAGCAAGACACTTGGGGAAGGCGCTGAGGATGCGCACCAGGCCCTGGCCCTCTCCTCCTGTTTGAGGCTGGAACTTCGAAGGCGAGGGATCCATTCCCAGGAGCGTCAGGGACCTGAGAGG